ATAATGACCCCTGAAAAGTTAAAAACGATGTAATTTATTTTTTGAAAATATCGCTCGACGTCCGTGCCTAATGCAGCCACGAAGTCAAAGATAAATTCAAACTACTTGTATCATATTCAAGCCCATAAATTGTGGGTCAAAGTATATGCAAAAATATCTGCACCAATATATACGGAAGGTCAAGAAAAATGGTAAACGCAAGACCTCCCAAGCCGTATCACAAAATTTCACCAAAAAATTATGGTCTTTAGCGATGAGTCGTACGTCCTTAAAAACAGGAGAAAAACTCCGGGAAGGCAATTTTTGACGGTAAATATATCTCTTAACTGAAAACCGAAGAGAAATTAAAATGTTTTTCGATATTTCTCAAAAAATCTCAGCTTTGTCAGGCGTTGAATCAATTTTGGCATGTTTCGGACCCCTAAGTTCAAAACGACGGTGAGGACGCACAGGTTGATTTTCAGAAAAATGTTATATGCCCTCAGATTCCGTTCATCATGGAGTACAAAAAAATATAAAATGTAATTTTTTGGTCCGACCTTGGACCAATCCACAATGCAAGAACTATCGTGGAAAAAATCGAGAAAAAAATCATTTTGATGCTGAAAAATGAAAATCCCACATACATCCATTATCTTCGCTCAATTAAAAAAATTTGGGCTATATGTAAGAAGGCATACCCCCAGCTTTGTGAAACAGTCGATAGTTAAAGAAAATTTTGGTTACGTAGGGAGAAAATTAACAATGAAGTTGCAAAGTCTTCCGGAAAAGCATTAATGACGGGCGCGGCGAAAAAGACTAAATGCGAAGTGGGTAATGTATTAAGGTCTCGTTTCTTCGCGGATCCCTAATGTCAGTAGTGTTTACAATATCTTACAAAAACTTAAGATTTCAAAAAATCATTTTTGACCATTTTTAGGCCGAATTTCCTAGTGATCGGGTTCGTATAAGATTTGCTCTATGTATTTGAATGTGTTTCTTCTAATATGTATGTATTATCGGTTACTGATTGAGCAAGTCTGTTTTAGAAATGGGGTGACGGGATAAGGTACTTATGAACTTATAGATAGGAATTATTGACGGCTGGACCGGTTAAGTGACATATTAATTAGGCCAAGAGCTTTATAATAAACTAAAGGTCTTTGTGCAATATATGTAATTTGCAAATACATATGTACATACGTATAGATTTTTAGCTAATTTTCTCACCACTAACTTATCTTACGTTTTCTAAATAAATTTCACTTCTTGGTCTTTAGGTCGCAGTCGTTTAGTAGGTTACTTGTCAGACTCTCAGAATGAAAATGTATGACATATGTTTGCAATCATTTTAACCCCTCCGGATATTGGCCATTATGCACGTGTGTATGCCAGTAAAGGGGAAAATATTAAAAATATTAAAAATAGCAAAATACATACATAGTTATGGCAATAATATCAACAGAATAAACTTCTTGGTTAAGACATGTCTTTAATTATGAATGAATTGAACTTTAAGCTGGCAGGCCAGTACAATTGAGGATAAGTCGAAATATTTACCGATGTTCATAAATAAGTAAACTGAGGAGTCCATGTTTAAAAGCTAATTTTTAGCTCTTATATATGTAAGTTCTCTATAAACTTGATTTTATATTATTCGAAATTTGAGTATCAACTATTATATTGTTGAAAAAATATTTTTCTGTCAAAATTAATATGATTAGTCGTCCATAATTTATCGATTTCAAGCTAATGGTAAATCTCATCTTATTTCATCAATACCAAACTTGAAACAACAATATTTATGTGGCTGGCAAAGCCTTTGTTCTTATAAAGTCTTTCGGTTGGAGGTCATTTGTAAATTACTGAGAAAACATTCATGCCATTTACATCTCTTTACACTGTTTCCCTCAATACACAAATTTCTCCTAAACAAATATTTCGATGAACAGTTCCACACGGGAAGACGCTTGCCGCCTAACCATACATCCCTGTTCAAAGATCTCTCTTTCATTCAAAAGTCCGTAATCCCGATTTCTGACTAAAGATTTCATTCACACTCAGTCGTTTGCTTTCAAACTCATTCCATTTCACTTATCGGAGTTCATTTCTTACTTCTCTCCATGGATTATGCATATGTAGGATGAAAAATGAGAATAGTGTAATCCTTCGAAAGGATTAAAAACATTAAGCATATTATGTAATCGCTTTAATACGTTATATATGACAAGAAACCGGGTTCAATCTTCAAAAGTCGAGTAAAAAGGCATGAAACAGGCAAAAATGCATCAAAAAGGCAAAAAAACACGTAAAAACTGCATATTATTTTGGAATTGCAGTTAAATAGGTTATTTTCCTTGTTGTTGTTGGTAGGTTATTTTCCTTTTATTTGTTGTGCACTTACATGGTTTTACCAATATATTGGTAATTCTATAGAATTACGAGGAGAGTACACTTACGTGGTTTTAGAATTAGTCTGACTACACATATATAAATTATTCTACTTATGTGTAGTTCGTTCTATGCACTTACATACATATATATGAATACCGCCATGTACATCAATGGTAACGCCTTGCAAACTTTTGTCACCTATTTACTTATGTATGTAACCAGGGCCCCATTTTTCACTCTGCACTTTTCAACTTTTCACCAATTTTGCAAAGCAGAGGGTTTTTCAGCGACCGCGATTTGCAAAGTGAAAAGTGAAAAGTCGAAACCGCAGAGGTTTTGAAAAGTGCAGAGAAGGGACCCGTTTTTCAACGTGTCGCTCTGCATAATATTCTCTACACTTTGCACAAAAAAGTGCAAAATGTCAAGAGGCACTTCACTCCTCACTTTTCAAAACTTTTACTCCGGCTCCGTCAATTTCGCGAAATATAATTAGGGATAATACTTTGACTTTCACTCCTCAATGAGGAGTGAAAATAGTGAGGAGTCCTCACTATTTGCATAAATAGTTATTTATTGCTAGCATTTACTTACAATGAGGAGGTGTATCTTGGTTATCTCCGATTTTTACTGGAGTCATTTTAAATTGCCAAGCTCAGAAATATGCCGACACATATTTTTTGCGTTTTTCAGAATGCGTATGTTTTCACCCGTAGTGGAATTTTTAAAAATCGGCCAAAATCAGAATTTGTCAAAACGCTGTCACTTTTTGAATTTTAACCCGATTTAAAAAATGAAGCACAGTTTGTTCTCAGAATTGCTCTTAAATTATAAAAACCCCATTAAAAAAATTTGTAATTTTAAAAAACTTAGAAATAACATTAATAACTTAAAATTTCATAAAATGAAGTTTTATAGTGCTTCTTACCAAAAATTATTTTTGATTTTTGAAATCGGGTTAAAATTCGAATAGTGACAGCGTCTTGAAAAATTCTGATTTTTTAAAATTCTGTAACTGGCGAAAACATTTGCATATTGGAAACCCCCAAAAAATATGGATCCGCTTATTTATAAGCGTGAACAATTTAAAATTAGTTCGGTAAAAATCGGCGATAATCACGTCCACACCTCATCATTGTTAGATTGAGCAATAATGGGGGTCTCCCAACGCACATATTCTCACAGATTTCGACCAAAGTAGTGTCAATCGATGAAAAATTTAACTAGTATGAAATTTGCAATATTTGCATCCGAAAAAGACAAAGCGGGGAGTAAAATCGGTGCATTTTGCAGTTGAATTTTTCTCAAAACTCTGGCTTCTCGTGATACATTGTTCAAAATAATTGCTTTATTTGTATACCATTACCATATTAATCCTATCTTAATTGATATTAATAAATTCATTACAAAAGTTGCTTCTTAATTTTAAATAGGCTAGGAAGCCGTTCGTAGATATATTTAAAGAAGAATCTGCGTGCTAAGAGTTTTGCAATTTGTCGTAGTTCCACGCACGGACCATAATCATGAAAATTATACTGTCTAAAATTTCTACCAACGCCTTTCTAACCTATAAACAAATTGATAGAATCAATTTTTGCAATGAATTTATTAATATTAATTAAGATAAACTAATCCAAGGACTTTTGTTAACGATTTTATAATTGTCATTAATTAGTAATTAGAAAGATTCGGAAGAAGGACAGAAATTGTGCAAATTAGTTAGTTAAATAATTTTATAAATCGCAGGGATAATTCTGCACGGAGCGATAATTTTGAGAGGGGAGAAAATGTTACTCTGCAAAATCTCCTTGCATTTGACCTTTTTCTGCAGAGTGAAAAGTGCAGAGTTCACGATGCATAAAAAACGCTCTGCCTTTTCACTTTTCCGAAAGTGCAGAGTGAAAAGTGCAAAGTGAAAAGCGTGACCATGAAAAATTGGGCCCAGGTCAATAAGTAGTGTCAGTTATGAACATGTTGTACGGACGTGGTGGCTATATTAGTTACAAAATTGCGTATGTATTTACAGGGTAGTTACATATAATGATTAATGGCCACATTTCCTTCGTCAAACTAACATTTACGGTAAATATCGAATTTTGGTAGCGTAGTGGTAAGAGATTTACCACGATGCTACCAAATACCATTTGTACCACCAGTCCTTAAATAAAACCCTGCCTAAAAATCAACCCGCTTCGACAAAAGTGCCGAAATCGTATAACTCAACAAAACATATTGGTAGGTCGTCTTTGTAGATTTTTTCAAATAATAAAACTCATGCTGAAACAATCCCGAACCCAGCCTTAGAATTTGCATACTTTTCACCTTCTTACCTAACCACTTTTTCCTCGATTTTGCCACCAATTGCACACACCCCTCCCACTTTGTATGCGTGACCCGGTCCGACTCAAAAACTGAAATCACCATTGGCAAGAAAACCCAAATTAGCCCGTAATTATTAAACTCCCACCAGGAAAGAAGAGATATAGCGGCATCGGGATTACATGCCACATTTTTAGCGTCACATAATTGAACGCGATGCTTAACACTAGTCCGGAAAACATTATCACAGCGGCAGCCGAAACTCGAGTACGCATTAAGATAATCGAAATCGGTTTGCGGCATCATACATATGACCCCAGGGGGAGGATCCCGTAAACTTTTGGACCACACCCCACCGGCGGCAGGGGGTGTGGTCGCAGTGTGATCGGGGCAAATTGAGATTTATAGCGCAAATTAATCTATGAATGAAATCCAGTTAAATTACGTGTATCTGAGTTGTGCCACACCCCCTCGGCGGCAGGGGGTATGGTCACAGTGTGATGGGGGCAAATTGAGATTTATAGCGCAAATTAATCTATGAATGAAATCCAGGTATTTTTCGCCATTTTTAAGGCGATTTGCATGAAATTTGGCCAAAACATGTTTTGTGGTGTGGTCTACATGTTGCAGTATAGCGCATGTGGTCAATTAGAGATAATTAATTTGTTTTTAATTAATTCGTTTTTAGGCATTATTAAAATTTGAATCGGTTAATTATTTGCTTTATATTGTGATGCATTCTAAGCATTATTGCGCTACTTATGTATCGTGCTTTGCCGCACTTTATTAGTTATAGTATTAACCTGTTTATTAGTTATGAATAAACCAAATAAAATATTGCTGTAATTTATTTAGCAGAAAATGTCTTTTGAATCCCTGGGAACGTTCGCACCTGGTGCCGTAGGAATTTTCGACCCCAAAGCCCCAAGGGAATTGAAGGGCCCTCATGATCGACACTGTGTTGAATGTGGATTGGTCATCTACAGGCAGGCCAAGGAGCGTCTAGGTAAATTCCAACCTGCTTGTATCATTAACCAAATTTCTATTTCATAGTTAAACAATTTTGCATTGAATTTCTAATTTTAGACAAATGCCCGTACAAAGCATGCAAGGCGCCGATGATGTTGCGTGATGGCTTTGATGCGAACAGCAAATGGGGGAGATGCCGAATTTGTGATTCTTTCATCCACAGTTAGTCAGCAAGTTTTATTGAACAATTAATTTTTCTAGGTACGTGTTTATAAGTTGTTTTTAAATTTAGGCTTTATGAGCTTTTGCCAATCGTGTGGTACCTCCAACACTGCTGGAATAAACAGAAAACGGCGCTTAGAGAAAATTGAGCAGAACCGATTGGAGGCCGAAGTCAAGAAAGCTCGGATGGAGTTGCAAGATCCAGACTTTCTTCTGTGGAAGGCTGAGAAAGCTGCCAGAGAAGAGGAAGTTTTGCTGGCTGCTGCTGCTGCTGTTTCAGAAAATAATCCCGCCCTAATGGACACAGATGAGAAGGTAGGCGAAAATGAAAAAACAGGAGAAGGAACAGGAGAGGAAAAAGTAGTAGATGGAAAAGCGGATGAATGGAAAAAAGTCGCAGAAACGGAGACAGCAAGGAAAATAGAAGAGTCAGCAGAAGATCATGGATCAGTGAAAGGGACGCACTAATTTGTCAATTATATTTAATAATTTTGCATTTAAATTCACTCTTATAGTTTAATTATTTCCATTAAAATAATTCATCTTAAGATCACAACTTTTGTACTATTAACGATCGACTTCATAAGCCCAACATTACAGTTATCTTTTATATATACCAACTTTAATTTAATCGTATAAAAGATTTACAATTATAACAGTTGTTATTTTAAAGTATACATTTTATGTAAATTTTTAAGTAATAATTCATGAAATAAAGTCAGTTCATACTGCAATAAAACTATTTAAAGCTTTTTCAATCATAATCTCATTTCAAGAATTAGTTTAAACTATTCCATTATAGTGCTTAGAATTATCATGATTTAATTAAGATTATCTTATGCAAACCAAAATATTATTTTTAGTTGTTGCAATTTGAATTCTAAACTAATAAGCCGTAATTTAATTGACGATGCCTCATTAATCTCATTTAAGTAATTCAGATAAAAAATTGAGTTGTATTTAACAGAGACTAATCTTCATATTGTGCTCAGATGCTAGCATTGTTAGGTCATATTTTCATAAATGTGCCTATAATTATGATACATACATGCAAAATTTCATTTCCACTGCAAACAGGAGTTACATTTTTTATTCAAACATAAAATAATAATTCATTCTATTAAATAATAATAATTCTATTTCATTAAATAATTCAGTCTGACATTAAAATTAATTAAATATTCATATCGGCTATAGTTCATCAGTGATTTAATATGCTTAATTCGTTAATTACTTAGTTGCTCAAATTCGTAATTTATTAATTTATTCATCCCATTTACGATATTGCAGCAATACTGAGGAATAAAACAATAAAACACGTTTATCTTTGCAAGAAGACTCAGGATACATAACGTCTGGTACTTAGAACATTTCACACAGTTTAGTATTTTATTCAATTCAATTGCATTTGAACATTTATTATCTCAACTCTACATTAGAGTGGGAGCAAACACCTTATATTGTAACCGTTTTGAAATTTTTATTAAAACTACAGATAAGTTGGGCTAATCAAAATAAAAAAATACATTCTCGGTGGTGGCTCCCCATAATTCATTCGTGCTTGTAAGTTCCATCAAAGATTTATCAGAACCAAACGTCACGCAAACGCAGTACTACGCCAGACTTCAATATTCGTTCCAGGTTCGATCTGACTGCTCTGCTGGGAGTCTGTGTAGCTGGCGTTTCAACACGTTTTGCTCTCATTCCCATGTCAGATCTCCCCGAATGAAGAGCTCGCTCGCGTAAAATATTTTATCCTAATCATCAACATTGTTTTTGGAGAGAAATGGGTAAGTTTTATTTATATTTTGTTTTAACCTTTGCATTTTTAAAAGAGGCAAATTGATGAATAAATTTTTAAATGGATAGTTTGGAATTCTTGGATACGGATGGTGGGATTGGATTTTTGAATTTCAGTCTTTTAAATTCAATATGTAATTTCTTAAAGAGGGTTCACGCAGATAATACTGGAACTTGGTTTGGTTGGTTAAATACTTGAGTATTAAATAAGATATTTGAGTGCTTTCACTGATAATGCGAATTTGTAATTAAAGTCTTAAATGTTTTTTTATTGTTCTATTGCTTCTATTAATTCCTACTTATTCTATTGATTATTCCCTATTCATTTATTTTATTATTAATTTCCGTTTTATTACTGAATTAACATTTTATTATGACATTAACTTCACAGCTCCAGCTATTTCGAAAGAAGACAGCTGCATGATCTGCCTTGGTCCTCTCAAGATCGGAAACCTGTATTCTAGTGGATCAAGCACCAATCAAACCTGTTCCCACCCCTTCCACTTCGCTTGCATCGTGGAGCGCTGCCGCACCCAAAAAGGGGAGAACGAATTCAAGAAATTGGTGCCAGTACAACCCACATGTCCCATTTGTGTGCGGCCCATCAAATTTCTCTTTCCACTTGATGAAGAAAACGGTTAGTAATACAAAAATGATTAAGCTTATGAATTAATGATTATTATTATTAACCTTCTAATACTTAAATTATCTCTTAGGAGTATTCAAAGTTGAGTTGGCCCCCAGCTTTAAACAGGTTATCGTAGGCGTCACGAATGCAGGGACGCCTTTGATGTCATACATCCGTACTCAGAATGGTAAGAAAACAATTTGTAACTCCAATATGTAACGAAATTTAATTATTATTGTTTATAATATTTGCAATGCTAGAATGCTAATATTAGTTATTGTTTGCAATGCTTTATTAACCAATGTAATTAATTTTATTTAATCTGAATTTGCAGTGCAAGTGATGGGATACACCAGGACGACGAACAATCCGTTTGCAGCTGAATACAAACAACAACAGGACCAAAAAATCAATGTTGTTGTTGATAAGATGGCTGAAGGAATAGTTAAGCGGCTTATTAAAAGGTTGATTTGTGTCAATCAGAAATAGTGATCATACTTATTTCTCCTTCCCTTTGACCACTTTTATTGTTGTGCAAATTTTTATAGAAATTTTTCACAAATTGTTGTAATAATTTGTCGATCACATCCGTAACAATGGTTTTTTTATATTTCAGCTAAACGACGTCGCCTCATCTTCTTGGTTTCTTCCAAAATCTGACGTATTCCTGTTATATCTAATCGATGTTCCATTCCGTCTGCTGCCTCACGTACTTAATAGTAATTATTGTAATTAATTAATTCGAATTATATATTTATATATATGCGCTAATCCGTTCAGTTGTTTTCTTTAAGATAAACTTATAAATAAAGTTATTTAATATTTAAAATTCCCTCTGTTTGTTTAATATTTTAATTCATTAATCATAATTACATGAAACAATTACATCTGCTTACGGTGCATAAAATTAATAGAACGTACATTTTGATTTATTTCACCAAATAGAGCATTTATCTTCGACATCATTTTGGGTTACATATTATATAGTATAAAAGATCTCATTTTGCAAATTTTGGCACAATCACCATTGCATCCTGACAATCCTCCTACATATTGCACAGGCCTCCATCCTATATTTTGCCATATTTTCCCGTGTTCATTAAGATATTAAGATCATTTGATTCGGCTTTGGCATATGCATTATTGTTAATAGTCTCCAATCGGATTCCACACACGGTCCGCCCTCGAATATAGAGCCCAATGAAATGGATTGAAGGCGTTACTGGAGAAAATATCAAATCATAAATCTTCACGCAACCCTTCCTCTCCAACTTTCCCCTCATCAGCCAAAATTCGGGCAGTGTAATTATTGGATTCATTGTTGCAACTTTCTACACAATTAATTCAGTCCAAGTTGTCTAATATTATGCTTTCCCCCTTCGTTTATCCATCAGATTACATGGATTAAAACCCAGTCCGAACTAATAAATTACAATTGATACTTCAACTTCGCATCATTTTCATTCGCCCTTTTCTACCCTGGGCAACTTTTTTAATCGCCCCACAATTGACTCATAATTTCAATCGAAGTTATTAAAATTTCAAATATAATTAGCAGCATCCATTGTTAGCGTGTTCTTGGAGTAGATTTAATTTTTATGTATCTGCTGTTTCCGATGAATATTAAATAAATTGTCGCTAAACTATCCAGAATTAATTTCTATCCTATCCTATCGGACAACTCATCGGAATAGGATATCTTTGTATACTACATTTCTTGTAAATATTTTATTCGAATCTGGTAACAGCTTCCCATGCTCTAAAGTTGTCACTACGTGTACTTTCACATCACACGATCTTCGGACTCGAGAGAAAGCAACATAAAGTTGTCCATGACCAAACACTGGAGTTGGTAAATAAATCCCTACTTTGTCCATAGTCTGTCCTTGTGATTTATTTATAGTCATAGCAAAGGCAAGCTTCACCGGAAACTGTCTTCTCTTCAGCTGGAAAGGCAGATCGGAATCAGTAATAAGATCAATTCGTGGTATAAATACAACGTTTCCTTCTGCCGATCCTGTAAGCACTTTTGCAATAATCAAATTTGGTTTCAGATCAATTATTTGCCCAATAACAAAACTTTCCCTCCAAAAGGAACATTTTTTCCATAATCTCTCTAAGTAATCGATCAACACAATTTAGTGCATGAGCAGGTGCCATTGTTGATTCGTCCCAAATCAATAATTTCGCCTTTTTGATTATATCGGCATCTTTACTCATCATTGTTATTCCAGATACGGTAGTTTCGTCAATTTTCAGACGAAGCTTGTATTGAGAATGGTAGGTTCTTCCGCCTTTTAAAAGATTTGCAGCAATACCGGTTGAAGCAACTGGTAGGGCATTCTCTCCTTGTCCTCTAACATGACTCAACAATGTCTTGTAAACATAAGTTTTTCCACTTCCTCCTGGCCCATCTAAAAAGAAGCATTTACTGCCATCAACCTCAGATTTCATTGCAGTTTCGATCTCAGCAAATGCTGCTCTTTGTTCGCTGTTGAGGGTAGCGTTCAGCTGTTCCCCTAATTCCCTCTCAACTTCAATTTCAGCAAAGTTAATCATATTTATTAGCATATCTCTAGGCGGATCAGGAAGTTGAAAGTCGGAACATTTATGTTCATGGCCAATCAATTATCTTGAATATCTCTCAGGGTGTAATTATCACAGCCTTCGCACGTGGATCCAGGAGGATGACCGTGAACTCTAGCAAAGTCTTCGACTAAATTTTCTCTATGCTTATTCCAGAGATCTCTAGCATCAGCGAAACCCTCGAACACGCAAATATATGCAAATAACTCTCTGAGTTGTCTTGGCATAGAGGAATATGCTGCATCGTTAAGAGTGTCATCCCAAACGCTTTCATTCATAGTAAGTCCTCTAGCCAATGCGGCTTCATAAAATGTCGGAAATATTTGTCCATTAAATGTTCTGAGGGCATCAAAAGACGTTGCCCCTGTTACGTGTAAAAGTAATAATCTCAAGAAGTACCTTTCAGTGTCTCTCATATTTACGGGATACATTCGACCAATTGTCGTTTCTTGTCCTCTTTGGCGAATCACCCACTGACATTTTGCATTAAATACATAATGCTCTGGAATTTCATGATACTTAAAATTTCGAGCTTCATGTTTTGTCTGATTTAGCTTGAACCAAGCCATCAAAGTCGAATCTCTATGTTCAGCTTTTTGAATTGCTTCGTCAATTTCATCAGGATCAAATGTGACTGATTGATCATTTGGAAGATGCACAGCCAACCGTTTAACGGTATGACTTTGATCTTGCATTTTAAATTTAAAAATTCGCCAGGCCGCTTCAGGTGGGCTGACGTATCTTGAATCGACATGCGTCTGTACTTCATCGATACTTATTTGTGCATTAGCACAATCATGTCCTTTGTAGGCATATTTAAAGAGGTATTTAACACTTTTTATAGATGCACACACTTCCACGTTAACATGACAATTGTATTTCAAACTTAAATAAGGGTTGTAAGGGACAACCCAGCTGTTATTAATTTCAGTTTGGTTGTCGAGTACCACGGTACCTAAATTTCGTCTTTGATATGCTGGATAACCATTGACATTGTTTTGTGTTTCTGATTGGAAAGGCTTTGGAAATCCTTTACAACATTTAGGTTTAAGTCCAGTTATTAAACATGGTGATCTAGATCCTGGCTTATTGCACGGGCCATGAATCATATTTTTTGTCACAACCTCAAATAGTCGTGGATGTGTATCTTTATTGGGAATTTCTGCTTTAACAATTTTGTCAATCAACGTCGCTGTTCTAGGTTTATCTTCCAGTTTCAAGATAATCAAAATGTGAGCATGAGGTAAACCTCGTTTCTGAAATTCGATAACATGCACTTTAGCCAAAACTGTACCAAAGACTTGTTTTTCGATCAAATCATCAAGAAGTTCTTTCAGTTTGAGTTTAAACACTCTAGCTACTAAATCGGGTCTATTTTTTGCTCGCTCTCCGGTTCTTAAATTTTGAACTATCTCATCCCATTTCGGATTGCAAGTCATTGTGACAAACAAATCCTCCGGTTTCCCAAACTTGCGAACAATAGTCATTGCATCTTGGTATTTTTGATTCATATTTCTCGGGCTCCCTTCAAATGTTGAGGGCAAAATAATTCTTTTTCCAGGTATTGCATCATGAGCTTCAGAAACATGATCTATTAATGATGAGTATGAATCAGCTCGTAGATCACCTTGATGGTGTCTGATGTAATTTAAATCGTTAGCCTCTGCTTTCACATATGCATCAACAAAATATTGTTGAGTTAGTTTTCCGCCGCTTAGAATCGGACTAAACTGATTTCTAATCGAGAATAAATACGAATAATACATTTTCAAAGTTACACGTTTCCGCTTATTAGTTGCTACAGGGGCTTCAGCAGGATTAAAAATTGCCAAGTCGGCTGCAAGTTCATCAGCCACTCTTGCTTTGTTTCTTCTCGTATTGCCAGTATTAATCAGGGTCAAATCTTCACCCCAACCTTGTTCCGCATTAGGATAAAAAATTGGATATGTCATCGAATCTAAATTTTTATGGAGAATGCTAATTCTTTTAGTTCCATGAACATTTTGTCCTCTTGATCTTAGGTGAACCAATAGATCTCTTTCTAGTGGGGGTTCTCCATCTGTGTTGCTAAAAATAACTGCAACTTCATTGCTCCGTTGGACATTATATCGCCTTGGATTTTCTATTTTCTATATCTCTCAGAATTTCGGTTTTGTAAAATGGCCATCGAAATCTGATTTTCTACTCGTCCTTCGCGAGCTGCCTTATCTTTCTCCTCCTGTTCAACTTCATATAACATTTTGTATGCTTTTGCAAGATCATTATGCTGCATTATATCAAATAATTTTGTCATTATGCGCTCTTTACAACTTGCGTTGGCTGGTTGATTCATTCTCTGGGCAGTAGCTTGTTCTTGATCAAGAATATAAATTTGAGCATACTTCCTAGGTTCACTCCCTTCAGGATGTAATGTTCCTGTTCTATGGTATATTTGACCATGGATTCTAAAGCAGTACGGGCCGAAACCTGGAGGTGCTCTAATTTGAGCTCCAACAGATGCAAAACCAAATGCACTATTATAGGATCGGATGTTATCAAAAAAGTGCTTTGAATCAGGGTCTGTTCCTGTCAACAATCCCTTAATGTAATCATTGGTCTGAATTTCGGGTAATTTTACTTTACCCTTATTACAACAAACAGTAAATTTTCCATCTCCTGCTCTTTCGTTTTCAAAATGAATAGCATTGCAGTCATTGCAAATAACATCAAATTGTCCAATATTGTGTAAGGGAAATTGAGACTCGTCTATTTCGTTGATTAATGCCATTCGGCAAGTAGCTTGTATTCTGCGATCAGCTGCATTAATTCGATTAGTTCTCCGCCGTTCTAGCCTTGCTAAAGTCTCGGGGACAGTTTCGTTTTCCCTAGATTTTGCATAACTTCGGGAGTTCGTGAGATGTCGAGCCGCAGTCTGCTCTTCGCTTTCATTTTCTCTCTCTAGTCGCTTTCGTGCAGCATCTTTTGATCGTTTAGGCGATGGTGCACCCATGTCATTCTGGGACTGCGAAGCATCATCTCTTACAACGAAGGTCTGTTTCCTTCTGCTCATTGTTACTAATTCAGTCCGTTGTATAGATTAGGAAATTAATTAATAAATGACCGAAGCCTCTCAATGTTGGTCTCAAAGTTAGTCTCAAAGTTGGTCGAAGCCTCTAAAAGTTGGTCTCAAAGTTGGCCGAAGCCTCTAAAAGTTGGTCTCAAAGTTGGCCGAAGCCTCTAAAAGTTGGTCTCAAAGTTGGCCCAAGCCTCTAAAAGTTGGTCTCAAAGTTGGCCCAAGCCTCTTAAAGTTGGTCTCAAAGGTGATTGACGCCTCTCAATTAAAAAATCACCGAAGCCTCAAAGATGGGCGAAGAATGAAAATGAAAGGGACTGGCCTCAGGGGGAGCGTAGGCTGGTAATTAAGTCTCAAAATGTGGGGGAGGAGAATGGAAACTAAGCCACTTCGGCCTAGGGTGTAGCGCAAGCTACAGTCGTCGATCCTTAAATTTACAGATTGCTTTTAGTATCAAATTGTAAACAAAATATTTAGCCCAGCAAAAAATAATCATAGAACAGATACTCACTTTTAGCTTAGCCTTAGTCTTAAGCATGTATTAGGCTAAGATGACACACAGGGATTTATTATTCCTATAATATAAATGCAGTTAAATTTAGTATGATGCAAAGGGACAATCATAAAGCTGATGATTTATTTATGAATCACTTACCTAGTGGAGACTACGACGGAGCAGAAAGAAGCCAGAGGATTTGGAAGTCACAACTGCTGTTGGCAGTGCTGTGGAACGATCGACACTGCAAAATATGAACTATTGTAAATACCACTTGTTTGATCTTTATAAAAATTGTAAACAACAATCGTAGTTTTAGATAGAATTCAATTCTTGCCTTATCCGTCCTGAAATGAGGGAAATAGGAGCAATGCGAGACTTACAAATTTGAGCGCGAGTTTTGATAATCAAAACAAAAGTTTACAAAATTCGATTAATTCGGCTATTAACACAATTTGTTCGGAAAGATAATGCTTGAACAAACCATAGAATAGTTTGTAAACAATTTATTATTTTAACTCACCTTGAAAACCCGAAACGAAACGAAATTTCTTTTTCCAAAATTGGCGCCTGGGTTATTGCCTAAATTGACGATTAATTGGCTGGAAATACTTTGAACATCAATTTCAAAGTCAGTGTGATAAACAACACAAATACTTTTGAAAACAAATGCGTTATTTTTTTTGCTGTAGAGCGGAACAAAATTTCCACACAACCATTCTCGATAAAGGTACGCGAAGTGACCTAAAAACGTGCTAGCAGTGCGTTGAAACGTTTTAGTCGCTGTCACACCTTTGCATAACGTTTTGGGAAGAAATGCCAAAATCACCATCTAGCGGCGAAAAATGCAACATTGTACCCCAAAAAGCCGATAGGTGGAGCGGGCGAGTAATTTGGATAATTATTGGGCAATGCGAGACACATGTAATCAAGCGCCAAATTCAATTGTGGACACGACCCGCTGCACAATTCTTGGTTCTGACTAGTCTCTTAAGCCCGCAATGCGGGCTCTAAGCAAAACGATTTCATTTAGTTTAGCGATACAAATTCCTGCTGAATAATTGTTACACATTTACCTTCACACAGAGCAAAGGAGCGTGGACTTGATTGTTACGTTTCATAGCACGATGTTTAATAATAGAGTTCACAACTCTATTGGTGTGACAACGAAAAACGTGCTGTCACGACTCTATGGTTGTGACCAAGAAATTCGTTCAGTCACGACTCTAAAGGGGGTAACCACGAAAAACGTTCAGTCACGACTCTGTGGGTGTGACCACGAAATTCGTTTAGTTACGACCCTTAAGAGGGTGACCACGAAAAACATTAGGTCAGGACTCTAAAGGGGGTGGCCACGAAAAACGTTAGATCACGACTCTAAAGCGGGTAACCACGAAAAACGTTCAGTTACGACCCTAAAGGGGGTGGCCACGGAAAACGTTAGGTCACGACTCTAAAGGGGATGGCCACGAAAAAACGTTAGGTCACGACTCTAAAGCGGGTAACCACGAAAAACGTTCAGTTACGACTCTAAGGGGGGTGGCCACGAAAAACGTTAGGTCACGACACTAAAGGGGGTGGCCACGAAAAACGTTAGGTCACGACTCTAAAGCGGGTAACCACAAAAAACGTTAGGTCACGACTCTAAAGGGGATGGCCACGAAAAAACGTTAGGTCACGACTCTAAAGCGGGTAACCACGAAAAACGTTCAGTTACGACTCTAAGGGGGGTGGCCACGAAAAACGTTAGGTCACGACACTAAAGGGGGTGGCCACGAAAAACGTTAGGTCACGACTCTAAAGCGGGTAACCACAAAAAACGTTCAGTTACGACTCTAAAGGGGTTGACCACGAAAAACATTAGGTCACGACTCTAAAGGGGGTGACCTCGAAAAACGTTAGGTCACGACTCTAAAGGTTGTGACCACGAAAAACGTTCAGTCACAACTTTAAAAGTTGTGACCACGAAAAACGTTAGGTTACGACTATAACGGTTGTGACCACGAAAAACGTTTGGTCACAACTCAAGAATGCCATTGTTCTAACGTTTTAAGAACGTTTAGGCACTTAAAGCAAAAGCCCGCCTTCTAGCGCTGAAAAACAGCCAACATCCGATAGGTGGCGCTGGTAGGTAATTAAAATTAGTAAGGCACAGGTCAAGTGTCCATTATACAGTGGGGCACAGAGGTCACAGGTCAAGTATAGGGAGCGTCCATAAATCACGTGATCGATTTTTGGACAATTTTGACCCCCTCCCCCTCCCTTGGTGACCGGTGGTGATAATTTCGCTACCCCCCCCACCGGTCACGTGACAGAATATGATGCTCAAATTAAATCATGTTGTCCGGCATAACAATATTTTTTAACTCATTAATCAAATTAGAGCTACACTACACACATGTGTAAATAACTATTTAATACGCCAGTCGGACATAAGAATTTAAGTCGAAGCAAGTTTCCAAATATCCAAAATGAAAATCAAATTCATGTAACGTGCCCGTGGTATGCCAAGAGAGTAGTTTATGTATAACTCTCATGACATTTATTGGCATATACAAAAGTTAAAAAAACTTTACTCATGTCACGTGACATCTGACCATCTACCCCGCCCCCCCCCCCCCCCCCCCCCCCGTGATATTTGGTGACAAATTTCAGACCGCCTCCCCCCCTCTAATCGATCACGTGATTTATGGACGCTCACATAGTGGATGTGCCCAGGTCACAGGTCAAGTGTCAACTTCGTTTAGTGCCAAGTTTAGGGATTGTACGCAGGTCAAATGTCAAGTCCAGGGGGTGTGCCCAGGTCACAGGTCAAATGTCAAATCTAGTGGGTGCGCCAAGGTCACAGGTCAAATGTCAATGCCAGGCGGTGTGCCCATATCACAGATGAAGTGTCAAGTGTAGTGGGTGTTCCCAGGTCACAGGTCAAATGTCAAATCTATTGGGTGTGCCCAGGTCACAGGTCAAATGTCAAGTCTAGTGGGTGTTCCCAGGTCACAGGTAAAGTGTCAAGTTTAGGGGGTGTGCCCAGGTCGCAGGTAAAGTGTAGCGGGTGTGCCCAGGTCACAGGTCAAGTGTAGTGGGTGTTCCCAGGTCACAGGACAAATGTCAAATCTAGTGGGTGTGCGTAGGTCACAGGTCAAATGTCAAGTCTAGTGGGTGTCCCAGGTCACAGGTAAAGTGTCAAGTTTAGGGGGTGTGCCCAGGTCGCAGGTAAAGTGTAGCGGGTGTGCCCAGGTCACAGGTCAAGTGTAGTGGGTGTTCCCAGGTCACAGGTCAAATGTCAAATCTAGTGGGTGTGCCCAGGTCACAGGTAAAGTGTCAAATCTAGTGGGTGTGCCCAGGTCACAGGTAAAGTGTCAAGTTTAGGGGGTGTGCCCGTTCATTTGATCAAGTCTCGGCAGATCCAAAGGGTGCGTTTCGTTGTTCTCGTTTTCGTCAACGTTTTGACACTTTAGGGAAAAACGCCCTCTAGAAACGAAAAATACAACATAGTGCCCAAACTGCCGCTAGGTGACATTAGCTTGGACAATGTGAGACACGTGTGTAATCAAGCCCCAAGTTCAACTGGTAACACACACACACACACACACACACACACCACTGCACGATTCTTGGGTCTGATGGCATTGTTCTAACGTTTTAAGAACGTTTAGGCACTTAAAGCAAAAGCCCGCCCTCTAGCGCTGAAAAACAGCCAACATCCGATAGGTGCCGCTGGTAGGTAATTAAAATTAGTAAGGCACAGGTCAAGTGTAAACTATACCGTGGGGCACAGAGGTCACAGGTCAAGTGTAGTGGGTGTGTCCAGGTTACAGGTCAAGTGTAAAGTATAGTGGATGTGCCCAGGTCACAGGTCAAGTGTCAACTACGTTAAGTGCCAAGTTTAGGGATTGTACGCAGGTCGCAGGTCAAATGTCAAGTCCAGGGGGTGTGCCCAGGTCACAGGTCAAATGTCAAATCTAGTGGGTGTGCCAAGATCACAGGTCAAATGTCAAGTCCAAGTGGTGTGCCCATGTCACAGGTCAAGTGTCAAGTACAGTGGATGTGCCCAGGTTACAGGTGAAGTGTAATGGGTGTGCTCAGGTCACAGGTCAAGTGTAGTGGGTGTTCCCAGGTCACAGGTCAAATGTCAAATCTAGTGGGTGTGCCCAGGTCACAGGTAAAGTGTCAAATCTAGTGGGTGTGCCCAGGTCACAGGTAAAGTGTCAAGTTTAGGGGGTGTGCCCGTTCATTTGATCAAGTCTCGGCAGATCCAAAGGGTGCGTTTCGTTGTTCTCGTTTTCGTCAACGTTTTGACACTTTAGGGAAAAACGCCCTCTAGAAACGAAAAATACAACATAGTGCCCAAACTGCCGCTAGGTGACATTAGCTTGGACAATGTGAGACACGTGTGTAATCAAGCCCCAAGTTCAACTGGTAACACACACACACACACACACACACACACCACTGCACGATTCTTGGGTCTGATGGCATTGTTCTAACGTTTTAAGAACGT